ATTATTAATATCTATCCTCAGGATAATACACTAGGCCATATAAATTATGAATAATGTTTATGTTAGCCAAGTACGTAAGAGTCCTGGGGAGCCTGAGCAGCTTAGAGACATTGTGAGATTATGCTGTCTTTGCAAAGCATTTTAAAATTAATGCACATAATCCTCAGTGCTTGACTTCCGCAATTGCTTTTCTCTGTAGTATACCAGTTGCATATTAATTTGTTTTTAAACTGATAGACTTTTTATCTAAATTTGTGTTAGTTGAATGAATTGTTGGTATTGGATATATGAGATACTTTAAATTGCCATGCTAAATTTTATGGCATTTTATAAGTACCAGAGTAATTTGATGTAACAGCTTCACATGCATTAGATATAGAAGCTTAATCAAAGAAGGAAGAGGTTTTTCTTCAGGATAGGCCTCTCCTGATCTTTGTCCTGTGCTGTGTGTGGAGGACCCTGCAGTCTCTCCGCCTGCCTCAGTTCCCGCTCTGTCATCTGAACAAGATCCCACTGATTGGGGAGACTCTTTGAGATAAATGTTTTTATTCTGCAGTGGACAGAAGCCAAGAGAACCCTTTCTGGAACATTGGATTAGGAAACTAGATTTCAAAAATATAACCCAGTACTGTAAGAAGAGTAAACTTTCTAATGGTTCTATAAAAATACTGTAAACCATCTTCGGGCCAGTCAAAATATTTTCACCTTTCAGCAATTCAACAATTTTTGCAGAAGCACCTATAACTTGGGCCCTAAGATGTTGGAGTTAAATGTGAACAAATTCCCAGTGCCGTGAGGCTAAGCAGGACTCCTGCTTCGGGTGCTGCGTGTGTGAAGTGCACTGCTCCACTTGCATGGGCTCTACATCAGACTGGGGTGCTTGCAAGGTTAAGGGTCCTACTGACAGGATTCTATGATAGGATTCCTATAGCTTCCCATACTGCCACCAGGACAATGCTGTGCCACTCAGAGTTCCTATGTCATTCTGAAGCTTTACCTGAATGCCTCCTTCAGATGCTGTTTTCACCTGAGGGAAAAATAGCCTTGCTATCCAAATGTGTGGATTTGAGAATTTTCCAGAGGTAATGAAGTTATTATAGTGATCACCTTCAAATGATCTTTTTAGGCAGTTTGGGTTCTAAAATGCAAAATATAGAAGTAATTGTTTTTTAAGTATTTTTTTTTACAATTCAAGAGAATGCAACAAATCTGAATTGAGGCTACTAAAAATGGTTGTCAAACTTTGGTTTCCTGATGAAGAGTTGCTAAGTTATTAAAATAATTCCTTTCTAATCACCTTTAGAGTTGCATGAACAGTATTAATATTCCCTCAAGTTTTTAAAAATGAAAGTGTTTTTATTGATAGTTTATCACAGTGAATATATGTGGATCTGTTATCCTAGTCAGTATTTTAAAAAAAGATTGTACTTTAAAAGTACCTGTTTTGTGTGCCTCTCTGTACATGTGTTAATGAAGAAACAATTTGTCCCACCTGAAAAGGAATGACACAGATTTGCCATCCATAAAAAGTATCATGTAGTGAAACTAACTGCTTCAGTCAAAATCTAAATGACTTTGTAGATTTAGAGAAAAGTGTTAGCACTTTCCGGCAGCACTCTCTGGCACTTTCTATAACAATAAGCGTGATAACAGCCTAACAAAGAAGGGTTAATATTGCTCTTTAATTACCTAACAACAATACCTACTCCAGTAACATGTCACCTCATTTCTCATGTTCCATTGTGGTTTACTTGCCTCACAAATCTTTCAACTTGCTTTGAACCCTTTTCTGTCAGGCATCAGCTACTGGCTGATTGTTTGCTTGCCATACTGTTCTGATTACCACCTTTTAAAGCCAGCTCCTCCTGCTGATTCTTTTACTTCATGCTGGTGCCTTAGCTGCCTTGAAGGCATTGCACGGAGCCATTGACATTCAGTAAATCAGCCACTCAGCATTCTCCATCTTTACATCTCTGTTTGTTCCAAATGCCAGTATTTCTGTCATTTAACTATTTCCGTTGGCATGGCTCTTGATCATACTATATTCAGGTTTTTTACTTATAGTAACAGTTTGGTGATTTGTTTGGAAACAAACATCCTTTTTAGGAATGTTCTTTAAAAAATTCAACCAAGTTATATTTTGTGAGCCTTCATCATAATTTATAACTACCCATTTGAAGAATATTTTAGACTGAAAGAAAGTAACTTTCACAGTTGATTATTAGTAATGTTCACTACCTATAAATTACTGTAGACTAGAAAAAATATCCAGTAATGAATGAAAATACCTGTATTTCTCAATGAATTACTCAGAAGCAGCTGGAAGAATTCTGAGGTATTTCTTCTGGTTGTGTGTGGAGAAGACTTTATCACCCAGGGCCTTCAGTCCCCGGGAGTTTCTGAGACGCGCTTCTCTGTGGGCCCTAGTGACTCTCCTGCTTGCTCTGTGGGGGGAGTTCTCATGGCCCCACCCACGGACACTGCCCCTCTGATCACTTCCCTCCTTTGTCTGGAGGGCTCTTTTCAGATGACTACACGATTCTAGCTGCTAGACTATTTTCTGACATGCATTCTGGGCATCTGCTAGGGAAGAGTTTGTCGTATCACATTGAGTGTACACAGTCCTTGGATTTTGGGTAAGATTTATACAGCTTGCATTCTGTAGCCCATGTTTTAGGGACAATTACCAAATTTGTCATGTTGTATGTATCATTCATACAATGAAAGCCTCTCTTCCAAACTATTCCCATCCCTTTTTTTTTCATGTTCCTCACCCTACAGAAACACATGTGCACGCACACACATGCACATCATACACACCTGAAACTCATATCACATGTTAGGGTAATTGCAGTTTTCTGGTGCTGTATACGTCCCAATGCTCAGGTGGGAAAATGGAGACAACTGAATTTTAACGTTAATTCAAAATGATTTAAAAAGTCAACTTTTTCATTTTACCATCATTTGCTGTTTGTTCACACTAGCACTAACATAAAATCTACAATGCAATGTGTATTTGTATATAACATGAATGTATCCACACATCATGCTAAAACCATTTGATCAGTGTGATGACACAAGTGCCGCATTTAAAACAGACAGGAAAAGTCTCATTGGTAGGACAACCACAGGAATCAAAACAATCTCAGGAACGATGCTTGAATGTGTTCTTTTGAAGAAATTCTCTCTGAATATAAAGAATCCTACATTTGAGCTCACACAACAACATATAAGAAATGTAACGTGTTCCAAGATTCTATAAATGTTCATATTTCTGAGTTTGCAGTGGTTATAAATTTCAGAAAGATCAGAAGCTTAAAACATCTAAAGTGCAGGCAAGAGTGAGCATGTGTTGCAATTTCACCCATTACCTGGGTCTGGGAAGATCCACATGTACATGTAAGTGGGGAGCCTGTTTTTGTAAGTTTTCCATGCTTAGAGCTGATACTAGGGCCATTTGTTCCCCTCAAGAACCTTTCTGTTTCCTGCAAGAATCTTTGTTGACCTGGCTTCAATACAAATATTGGTTAAGAGTCTGGTGCCCGCTGGTCTGAGGTTGACATCTGGGAGCGGAGACTCACACTGTAGCGGGCACTGGTTGGAGGTGTCGTGTCCACGCACCTGAAGAGTGCTGGGGTATTGTTGTTGATCTGAGCAACTCCACGACTTTTTTCTTAAATTTTCAGACTGGAAGACAGAATTACCTGGTAGAAAATGCATAAACTTCAGAATCAGATTCAGTTTAAATGTTAGCTCTCCACCTAAAACTGTGATTTTTCACTTACTTCTGTGAGCCTCAGCTTCTTTATTTGTAAAGTGCAGAGCAGTTATACACAATAAACAGAGTAACAAATCCATCCCAAGTCCCTGGTACTCAGTAAGGAATTCTCCCTCTCCACCACTCAAGAGTTCAGGAGTGGAGTGAGTTACCTCCATAACAGCTTGATTTAGCTCCCTTCTGGTTTGAGTAGACAAAACCTGGCCAACCACACTTTTAGACAAAGCTTTCGAAAATCATCTGTTCTATCCCCAGTCAGACAACAAGTACCTAAAAAAAATTCTAAGCTTAGGAAGAGACTAAAAGAGTTTGACTTCTCTGGGAACTATATTAGCTCCATGCTTTCCTGAAAAATACCCAGTGACTTATATCTGATGCAATGAGATTGTACATTATTAATTTTTTTAAGATTCATTAACTCCATGTGAACTTTTTCTTTCATCTCAACTTACACAAAACCCAACTGGAGATTTTAAGGAGGTGATATGTAATCAAGAGTTTCATTCACAGATGATTTTCTCTTAGTGAGAAGGCTTTACGATTACACTGCTTGGAAATTTTTATCAGCTTAAACCACAAGAAAGCGACATTCAGATTGAATTAGGTTGACCAGAGGTTACATAATCTACTGACTGTGTGAGAAGTTATGATGCACTTAATTGAGCCCAAACCTCTCCTGTCCTTTCAAAATGCACTTAGGTTGGATGATGCAGAATGTGAGGTAGATGTTTTATTTTTTAAATCTACTTAAAATGTTATTAAAACAATAAGAGATTCAAAGACATGGTGAGTTGTAAAACTAAGATATCTGCCTCTTTTTTTCTTAATTCTGTGCCATCTTCGACTACGTAGCTCATAGAAATTGTCTGTGCCCACAGACTCTCCCTCTAAGCAACCCGGGCACTATGACGACGGGAGGTGTGCTTCTTCTTTGCCTTCTCTTTCTGTAACTGAATTGTAGAGATACTGAAACCCTCGAGTCGTTTTGGAGTTACATGTGATAGGCCATACCGTCCAGATTTTAGGTAATATAGCAGAGAGTAAAAATATTAAGACAAAGTATGATTTTAAAACCACAAAGCAAAGTTTATCAGTAGTTGGGTATTGTTATCTTCAGAAATATTTTGAAATGATTTTCAGAGCTAGTTCAAGTTTTAGTAGTGAAACTATTTACAGAAAAATATTTGTAACTGTTTCTCTTTTTTCTTTCTTTCAATTTCAGGGTCAGCCTGGTCCTCAGGTAAGTGAACTCTTTTCTAACAAATTAATTCCAATTTAAGATTTTTCCAGTGTGGAGGTTTCTGTAATTCTTTTCAAAGGATATAAAAAAGCTGTGAGCCAGCAATCATGACCCCACACAGTAGACCAAATATGTCCCAGGAGTAAAGCTTCGGGGCCCCTTCAGGCCTGTATGAGCCGTGTCAGCTGTTGGACCAGATGGCAAGTTTAACAATGTACTGTCATATAAAGCAGAACTCTTAACTGATCTGAAACAGAGCCACAGGACTCTAATGTAAGACACAATGACTTAGTAGATGTCGGGTATGAACTGGTTCACATTAGGTACTGATTAATCATGTACCAATAATGTTGTTGTAAATCCACACACACTCTGATTATGTAGACTGTGATCCTACCAGCCACTTTTGATTCATTATAGACAGATATTGAATTCGTTCTTCATTTTCAATATAAACCAACCGCTGAAGACATGATTTATAATTAAATGGGAATGCAGTCAGCAGAAAATCTTTTAGCCCTAAATCATACTGAAGAAAATGAGGAAATTTTAGGAAGGGGAGGAATGTGTATAAAGACGAAAGTATAAAAGGAGGGAGTTGTCAGAATTAAAGAGTCAGTAAAAATCAAGAAATTTAATATGAATACTTATTGTAGTCTGTAGGAAGCTATAGAGAAGGAAATAACATTATTAATGTTTCACCCTCAACACCATAATACCTGTAACGAACACAACTATTTTTTCAGTTTCCCTTACTTCTCTTTCAACATACAGAATGCTATTTCTATCTGAGATTGTTTGATCAATAAATGATTTTCATGGTGCCTTTGTTAGTCAATATCATAAATTGTCTTTTGTGTGCTAATTTCATACTAGATCAAAAGAATATTATTTATGCTTTTTATGAGCTCTGTATATTAAGGATGTCTAACAAACAAACCCTCTATATACTTCAAAGAGCAGTTCTTTTCACACTACGCTAATGAGAAAAACTTCGACATGTGATTAATTTATATTCATATCAAAGAATACTCTCAATATTTGTGATTTTAAGTTTTAAAGGGACCTCAGTCTTAGCCTGCATCACCTCCCCTTACCCTAAAGCAGTTCTTAAGGTGAGGATTTGAGCATAAATAATTTATCTGGGAGATTATCCCAGGGAACTTGGTGAGGGAGTGGGAAAACAAGAGGGAGAGCAAGAAAACCAGGAAATAGATGCACTAGTGAACAGGTTCTTGCTGTGGACAATAGGGGTTCCGTCCCGCTGAAGAACGTATGAGAGACTGTAGAGCTTGCCTTAGACTCGCCCCACTGAGGAGCAGGGAAATTGATGCATTTATCCACTAATTTATCTACCTTCACTGTTGAGAGTTGTGCTGGGGTGTTAACTCCCTGGGACTTGTGACCTGTCCCCAGAAGGTCTGGCACAACCTAACTGCTGGAGGAATGCTGAAAGCTGTAGGGACAGATGGGACCTGTACTGTATTCTCTCACTTTCTTGAAGGCAGCAGTGGTGTGAGTTGACACCTACGCCTGCCACAACATCTAAGGACAAGTGTCCCAGCAACAAAACAAAGAGTGGGAAGTTCAGATATACATATAAAGATTTGGAGATGGGATAAAAATACAGTATTAAAAGCTACTAGTTAATGAGATGTTAAAAAGAATTACTATACAAAGATCAAGGTCATAATAAATCTTGAGTGTACAGCTACAGTTAATGAGCAGAAGAAAGATGGCAAACCAGCACAGGAAGCCAAAGATGGACAGAACTGGGAATGTTCTGGATCACTGTAGCTGAGATATAAAAAGTATATCATAACATTTCAGAATACTTTTACGTCACATCTTATATTTACTGTGGCTCTTCAGAAAAATAAAGTCTACATATGGCCTATACTTGAGAAATTTGGAAACTTTCAAGTGGGGTAGGAATGGCATTTTCAGATGGTGACCTGCTCTGGTTTTCCTTCATTTTGGCCACCAGTTCGCCTTCGGCGGACACTCAAATCACACAATCCTTCAGTTCAAAATGTCTTCCTCATGTCACAGCCGATGGACAACAGTGGAATCAGCAAGAATAGAAAAGGGGGGAAATGCAAAGCTGAGAAATATTCTTGTATTGCGTAAGGCATGAAAAACAGAGTTTTGTTGCTGTGCCGCTCTGACCTACTTCTATGTCTACATCATTATCCTATCTTTTCAAAAGAAACTTCCATTTTTGGATTTCAGTTAAATAATTATTAATGAAGTTATTCATTTAGTACTTGATTGCTAACTTTGCTCTGAGCTTTTTATAAATTATACATCAATTTATATATGTATGCTCCTTTCCAACTATATTTTTATTTTCCCTGTTTACCTATTATAGTATATTATTTCTCAGCCCCTAATCTAATCTTGGAATTTTTTAAAACAAAACGTGGACCTTATATAGGTTTTTAACTCCAAGAAAAAAATTTATCTAACTAAAAATATACTTAGAAATGACCTATGTATAAGATGTGATTATCAATATATACATCAGAATTATACTATTCCATACAGTTATATCTTACAATAACACCTTATCATAAATCCACTTTTTCTTTGAGTACATTTATATAAACTATACATTAATTTCATACAGATTTATAAGTTAGATATAGTGAAAAAACAATCAATGTACATTTAAAATGTAAGTTAGGAAATTATGATGGGTTCTTAAATGATTCAAAGTTTTTTTTATTTGATCAAATTTCTCTTAAAGTGTCCATGTTTTGTTATTTGGATCACTAAAAGTGATTTTGTTCATATACTGTGTGTATAACAAACAGAATTTATAACTTGAAGCATGTCTTATTTTTTCTCAACATCTTTTTGGTGACTTAAAAAGATATCTACTTTTTCTTAAAATGTCAACTTTTTCAGTTTCCCTGATTTTATAAGACTTCTGAGCTAAAACTCTTCATAACTTATTTTTTATTATGTGTGTATACATGATTCAATATAACAAATTTACCTACATTTCTTCCCTGCTGATCCTGTTCCTCTCTCAGCCCTGTGTCTCCTTAGCATACATTGTTCACTGTGGGGAAAGGGAAGGGTACAGACAGTGCAAAACTTTCTCTTTACCTCCTTATCCTCTCCCCTTTTACCCTCTAGACAAGCTTTCTCCAATAAGTTCTCTTAACTAGTCCTCAGACCACCCCCCACCCCAGTCACAACCATGTCACCCAGGGATGACCCTCAGCTACCCTTCCTGCTTCACTGAAAATCCACATTCCCTATGACTTGTTAGCGTTGTGAGAGATACAATTCTAAAATCCCAAATTCCAACTTTCAGTGGATTTTTCCAGCAGGAGTAGTACAATACTGTGTCTATTGTATAATAAGAATTTTTTAAAGATCTATTAGGAATAGGCTTTTGTGGAATGGGCTGGGAAAATAAACTACATCGATGTTATGATTCAGATTTTCAAACAACCAACTTACAAAAAACTTGTAAATGTCTGAGTAGAGAAATTGTACATCCTTTCAAGTTTATTAAAAATTTGGGCAGATTTATAGTTGGCAACTTATTTATGTCTGTGAGAGTTTTCCTGGATAGGGTGAATATTCCCAAATCATTTATTCACAGTATTATTTCTTACCCAGTGCAAAACTCTTCCTTAGAGAGTGAAACACTCAATTTTCCTTTTTTGATACACAGTTCTTTAGTAAAGACTTCCAGATTAATAAGGTTTTATTTTGTAGACCAATGGTAAAAAGTAAAAATGTCTATTACATCAAAAGAAGGGAGTTCTCATTTTCCTAAAGACAGCTTAGATCAATTTGAATTAGATTTTTAAACAATTTTGAAGACTGCAGAGCTAAATGGCAGTGAACCCTGTTGCAGTGATAGAATGAAATTGAATACAAAAAAAGGCCTTGGGGAAGGGCAGTAAGTCTTTGCATTTACCCAAATGGGTGGGGAAAATGGTTCTTGACAAGGGAAAGGAGATGGTGAAAGGTGTTAGAAAGAAAAAGGCAATTCTAGCAGCTGTGGTTAAGATGGGAAAAGAGGCAGGGACACAAATGGAGAGGATGTTGCTGCGAATCCACTGAAACAAAGGAAATCAAATTCTTGGAAAAAGGGTGGGGATTTTCAGGGGACAGGGGGAGGGTTTTCAGGAACAAGTATAAAGGACACATGGACAATAACAATGGGGGGTAGTGGAAATGGGAGGGAGGCGGAGAGGGCTGGGGGTGGGCTGGGATGGGAATAAAAGGCAGAAATTCGTACTTGAACAACAATTAAAATAAAAAATAAGAAAAGAAAAAGGGATGGGACAGAATAAATATCAGAAAGACTTGAAAAAACGGTTGGGTTAACAGAAAAATTGACAACTGAATGTAAGGGAAGAAAGAAAAAGAAATGAGAAAAAAGACAGACAAGCTTTTGTTTTTCAAACTAGAGGTAATAATTATTTGGAGGTGGGGCAAAATCAATAACAGTCACACTGATATTTCTTCACTAATTCATGTTATCATAATTCAATTCAATTACTCAAGTATTTATATAGCTCCTACTGTGTACAAGGCACGATGACAATGCTGTGAAATCGTGGTGCTCGCAACAGACTCAACTCTGTTCTTTTGATAGTTCTTTTACTATGAATAGTCAGAGTATGAAGTTCTGTCAATTCTTGAAAACCCACCATCGGACGATGCCTTTAACTACACCTGCAGCTCCTGGCCCGCATCTCCACATCTGGGAAATCCCCAGGTTCAGTCGGGACACTAAACATGAGGTCCTAAAAGAGCCCTTTTCCAGCATGCAGGTGTCTGAGGATCAATGTCTGGTGCTAAGTGTGGTCCTGGTGCCATGCTTTATTTCTCTTCATTGGTTTCTGTCAATATCCGGGCACCCCGTTCGGGTAACTGAGTCCTTTTCTGGCTCCCCGATCCTGCATGACCTTTCTGTGTTCCTCTCTTCATTTCATGTGCTTCTTTTCCTTTCCTCTCTACTCCCAGGTTAG